CGCTGTGAGCTCAATGCCTGGCTGGCCTGTCCCCCACCTGGCCTCCTATGGGACTTAAGCCAGGGGCTCCTAGACCAGAAAGCTGAACCGAGTCGGGAACTAGACAAGGCTAGCACATTCAGGAGACAGAGCACCCAGGGGCAGTTTCTCCTCACAGTCTGACCTTCACGGAGCTGTAAGGTTTAAAGGGAAAGGTACATTATCAGAGGATTAACAGCTTCATCGATGTCTAAAAACAATTTAAAGCCTTGGGCTGATCAGCCCCCAAAGGTAACCTCTGCAGTCCCTCAAAGCCATGCTCTCCCAGACAATCACAAGGCCTGGACTGCAGGGAGACGGTGGACGGTGGCCATTGGAGAAAGCCAGGCCTCGAGGACCAGGTCTCGGGCAGTAAGAGCTGATGCCATCTGGGAGGCCCTGAAGCAAACACCCTGAATCTCCTGACTCTTCCCTTCCCTTTGGGAGGCTGGCCAGCTGCTGGGATGCCGAAGCACCCCCCTCCCCAACCCCCGGCTTTGTTCAGGCTCCCTCTGCAGGACCAGCCACCCTTACCCACTGTGCGCGAGCCCCGCCCCACCGGGTGCTCACCCGAGTCCATACTCACACCTGCCCTGCTCCCTGCCTCCCTCAAGACACTCCCTCTCTCCTGGGCCGTGCGCTTCCATTACACCCCGTGCCAAACCAGATCGCTTGTGTCTCATCCCAGTATTCTCCACAGGGCATAGTTAGTGACAAAGGAGAGGCTTAAGGAAATTTGTTTTTATAAAAAAGTTTGAAGATTCAGTTCGCGGTTGCCTTTCGCTGAGTAAATGCCTGGATCAGGTGGGCGGGCGGGCAGCTCTGCCGTGAGCACCTGCAGAACGTTCCTGGCCCTTCTCTCCCCCTGTGATCTCTCTTCCTTCCCTGTGTGCCTGGGTCCGTTTTTATATTGATTTTGGGTTTAACCTTTACAATTTGTCCTGTGTGTCACAAGGCACCTCCCCAGAGGCATGTCCTGCCCTGGAAGTCTGTGTTACGATTTTAGAACCTTCTGTTGACATGCAGGTGATGGGTTCCAGCCGTGAGCCGTGGAGCAGCCCTGGAAGATCTGCCGTGACTCAGGGCAAATGAGGCCCCTGGAGAAGACACAGGGAACCGGGACTTGCTCTCTCAGTCCTACTTACCTGGACAAGTTTCTGGCCCAACAAGGTGGCACTGGGTCAAGGGTAAATGGTATTGTTTCTAGAATGTAATGAGAGCAGTGCACTTTATTGGTTTTCTCTCTGCCCCGTCAGCAACAAGACTAAACAAATAACTGGCACCAAGCAAAACTGAATGGGGACCGAAAAGGCTGAGCTGTGTGAGGACGATGTGGCAGGAAGTGCTGTATGTGCATGAGAGAACGTTCCTAAAAGCCATGGATGAAACCTGCCCTTCTGTTCACAGTGGCTTTCAGAATATATTTAATAAGTTTTCAAACACCAATAACCTTCAAAGTAAACAGGATGATCATGTCTAAAAATGTTAATGATCTTCTTAGAACTCCGTTGTTTGCTGCATCAAGTTGTTCCTTTATCTCTACAAACGACACGGCAGTACTGCAGCCTACAGTCCCATTACCTTCTGCAGTGAGGCCTCAAAAATGAGATGTGGTGTCAAATAAGCATCTTCAATTTACAGACGGAAGCACCAGATCACAGACGGAAGCTGGAGCAGAACCAGAAGATGCGACTCCTGATCTTCAAGGACAATTTCTGCCCCTTGGGTCCTCCTTCCTCGGGATCAGGGCGGACAGACTGGAAACACAGCTCTTTGCTTCATACAGGCTTCTGACAGCCACACATACCATCCCTGCTGATGCACGATCTCCTGGTAGAGGCGACCCACAGATGCTAGAAAGAGAATCTTCCACCGTGCAGCTCTTGATGGCTCGGGAGCCCAAGAAGAGACCAGTAGCAGCAGTGAGGCCTCGGCTCTGGGCCAAGCCTCCCCTGGATGCTCTGAGGCCTTCTCCCATGTGGTGTGTGCTCAGCATCATGGGCCCAATTCTCCCACAATCTCATAGCTCCAAACTCGCATCACCATGAAAACAAAACGCTGCAGTCTACTTGAGGTAATTTTTGCTCTGATTAAAATTTTTATTGAAATCTCTCAAATGTTACCAAGAAATAATTTTTGCAAAATGGGGGGAAAATAGCTAACAAGCAAATTCAACATGGGAGCTCCCTCTGCTGGTCTGCAGTAGGTTGGTATGTTACAAACACATTCCCAGAGACAAATCTAATTTGCTGGAGAAGTGGACAAAAGACAGGTGTGTTGGGCTTTGCCTCAGGAGAGAAACACTAGAAGAAAAAAAAAATCCAAGTCTCAAAACAGAGCACAACATTGCTAAGAAAAGCAAAATAATATAAAAGCTTCTCCAAAGACATACAGTAAGATCTCCAAACAAAACTGGAACCATCCACTAAGGGGACGCTCCGTTTTAGTCTTCCCCACTGCTCTACCTCCAGTTAATAAAAATTCTCTCAGGCCCTTTGAGTGAAGGTTAAGTTCTTATTCCCTTGTCTTTGCCTCCAAGTCTCTTCTTACAGGCTTCTCATCTACTTAGAGAAGAAAGTTCCAAGGAGTCAGTGGAGTGAGGCCTTTCCAAAATTCCAACAAAGAGTAAGTCTTTGGTGAGCCAGCACTGAGGCGTGGAAAGAGCAAGGCCTGGGAGTCAGGTGACCTGGCTCCAGTCATGGTAGAGCCACTCGCGACTTTCGAGAACTCTCCATCTTCTCCAGTCTGTCTCCTCAACTGTAAAATGGGCCAGACCTGCTGGATCAGTAAAGCCTCTACCAGTTCATTCTAGGATTCTCATCTTGGACAAAGGAATTTAAATAACCGTATCTGTTCATGAGCCTTGGATACAGAACCCAAGCTTGCACTGGGAATGACTCCAAATAAGTCTTGGGGTTGAGCACAAGGATCTCACTGATTTCAGATGAAAGTTCCACCAACCCTAGCACCGATGTGGCGGAGCCAAGTGGATTCCAGGTTGGGAAAGTCTCAAGATCAAGACAGAACTCACAGGGGAGGGTGCCACCATGGGCAATACATCCCACTAACTCAAATGGTTGAGTCCATCTAATCTTGGCACTGTCTCTAACCTTTCTCACAACGGGCATGGGCTTTCTAATCTCTTAAGACTCTTCAGTTCCTTCTCCCATACACCCCCAGATAGACTTTGGATTTCAATCATTATACGAAGCAAGGCAAGTTACCCGGATGTTATTAAGGCCCCAAAGCCACCGTTCCCAGTCCTTTCTGGCCACTGTCAGTTCTTGCCTTTCCAGGACAATGGTGAAAGGCTTTGCTGCTGATTAACAAAGCCACTGATATTCACAATACTCTGCACACCTGGCACCGCTCCATGGTATTAGGAACATTTGCCTCAACTGTCAGTTAATCCTTATTTAGGCGGTCTAGGAAGAGGAGCGAAGACATCTCCACAGATGGTGGGGGCGGGCCCACAAAGAGAGGGGGCCTCTTTGAGTCGCTCCCCATCACCTACAAAGTTATCCCCAAGGCCACTGAGAACATTTCGATGACTCAGCAGAAGACAGCCACAGGTTTAGGTTTTATCCCTTCTCCCTCCTCTGGCCCCTGCGAGGAGCCCGAGCGCTGACGGGGACTGAGGCCGAGGCGGCAGCGAGGGAAGGGAAAGCGGAAAGCACGGCCGATCCGGACCCCGGGCCATCGGGCTCCGAATCCTGGGGCTGCTCTAAGTCCTGTTCCGAGCCAGCAGCTCTCACCGTCACCCTCTCCTTTTCCCTCACTACCTCCTTCTGCCAACACCGAGGGTCGTCACTTCGGGGGCCTCTCTCTGTAGTCTGCCTGCTTGGTGCCCGGGAGGCTGGGCCGTGCACGCGTGCACAGAGCACGCACGGCTCGGCTGGAACGGACTGGACGCGTATGCAGCCAGCACCCCGCCTGAGCCCCTGGCTGCGAGGACATCAGCTAGGGGGCTGCTTGTCCGTGCTTTAGTCAACACAGTGAGTACTGTACAACATGGAAGAGTTTCCCTGTCCGAAGGAAGAGTTTTCTGGGAAGCTGTGTATTTCATCCAGCCTTGTAAATAAACACTAAGCAAAACAAACAAAAACTCCACCTGTCTGTCCAGGCCAACAGTTTTTCAGAAACCAGGCTTTCCTGCTTTTAGAGGAGTTACACATGCGGTAAAACGTATGAAATCTATATTCTCTCTTCTTTGCTGTTGATCCTCGCTGAATCCTAACATTACTTCATTACTACTGCTTGCACTAAGAGCAAAACTAAGAGCAACATTTCCCCCCCTCCAAGGGGAGAGGGAGGGTTGGTACGTGGGTAGTAATCTTTGTGAAGAAACAAGGGAGTTTTATTTAACTAAGAAGGGAAGTGGGTCCAGACAGAGACCTTCACCTTGACCTGTAATTACATTCTCCACACTACACTGTACCTCCTTTTCTAAAGGTGGGAAAAAAAGGAATCCTAGTCTTCCCTGTAACATCTGTAAGCTAGCACACGGTCTTCCTGGAAGCTTCCAACTTTCCCCTTTGGTCACTAGCTCTCCTAGAACATGAGAGACGAAATCCCTCCACGCACAGACACAGAACTCCGGCAACCAGCGCGAGCCTCCCTCGGCAGCCCTCCCGCACGACCAGGCACACGAGACTATGTTCTAGGGACGCCCTCGGGCTGGCTGGGGGCTGGGGAGGGGGGGGGAGCCTGCACCCCGTCTCTCGTGTGTGGTATGAGGGTGAGATCATTAGGGAAGAGAGAGGTGTCACTGGGGCAAACATCAGGCAGTGGGTGATATCATTGCTGTCAGACGGTCCTCAAGTCCTGGAGGAGTGTCAGCTTGATTTAGAGGAGGTCATTAATCTCCGGAAGGGGGGTCTGTTAGCCGGATAGGTGTTAGTTGTATGGTGTGCTCTGGGGAACCAGGTTCGGAAGGACTGGTGGTGGAGGGAGTGAAGTCGTGGCCGATGGGTATAAATTACCTGGGCATGCAGTGAAGCGGGGTAGGTGAAAGCAGGAGGAGGTAGAGCAGGCGCTAACTCCGCTGGGTACAGAGGGTACGGGGCCCACACTTCAGGGCTACTGGGGTAAAGTGCAGGCACTGTGAGCTCATCTGCAAGAAAAGAATAAGGGAAGAGTTAGTGGTCACCAAACAGCTGCTTTCAAATCAGAAACAAAACACCAAACAACCCCGAGCCCCCATCCAGTCAGAAGTCAAATTACTCTCATGCTTTCAATAACCTGTGGGTTTTGGTCCCCAAACTCTAAGCAAGGGAATGGTAAATACAAAGTGGAAAAAAGCAACCGGCATCTGCTGCCTGTCTGGCCTGCTGGGATCTCAGGCCTGGGCTCTGCCCTGGACACTCTGATGTCTTTCCAACCAGAGCTGGGGGGAAAACAAGAACAGTGGGGATTTCCTGCCCCAAACCGCACACGTGGCCCTCAGAGGGGCAGAGGAAGAAAGAGAACTGGTAGGAGATATCCCACGAAAACCCACTGCAGAGCCTTTGGGAGAACAATGGTTTACTGGCAGGGTCATGATAGACCAGAACAACTGTAGGCCTTCTCTGTTTATCAGTGTAATTACTACTGACAAATACATCATCATCACCAAGCACTTTCCATTTAGCTCTCCGAAGCAGGGGCCAGCCACTGTACCTGCAGGGCGTTTAAGATGTCAAAAATGCAGAGAGGAGAAGTGAAACAGCCTGGAGTATCCTGATTAAAGTTAAACTCCACGAAGATGCAAATGAGAACACTCGTAGTTGCTGCTTACACTGACTGTATTTTCTAGGGGGAACAAGTGAGTTGTGTTGCCCACTGACTGGTCTGAATCCGATTCCATTCAGGTCAAGCTGCAGTTTGCCAGACTGAAGGGCAAGTGCCCGGGGCTCAGAATGTATCAGGAAGCAATCCATTAAAATAACAGCAAACACATGAGGGAGCGTCTCAGCAAAGAAAAAAAAAAAATCACATCAGTCGATGGTTATGAATCTGGACTCTGTGAAGCAGCAATCTCAGTATGTGCTTTTATCACCTGTCAAAATCTGAAATCAAGGAGGCCAAGGATGCTACCCGGCGCTGCCGAAGGAGTCAGGAAAAGGCGACTGTCATAAAGCCATTAGTGACTCTGCCGTTCTGCCATTCAGGACTTTCCAGAAGCCTAGCGTGCACGTGACCCAAGGTCGAAAGGGTCATTTCACTCCTTCCCACATACAAGCCACCCCAGGCCTGCTCATTCCACGTCTCCCTCAACCTCTCCGTCCTCCCCCCTCCCCGCAAACTGTGGCTCTGGGAAGGGTTTTCAGTATGGGAAGGGGACTAAAGACAGAGAACTTTCCTGAGTGTGATGTGGGGACTACTCTTTGGAGCAATGGGGAAAGCAGCCGAGCCTATGGGAGCACGGGGACCTGGTGAGTTTTTCCACAGCCAGCCAGCACGGCAAGAACTACTGAGAAGATGGGGAGTCCGGAGCTGACTGAGGACTATCCATTCAGAGGGCAGCGTGGGGATCCCAGCAATGCGGAGAGCTACGCTGCGGCTGCCCCAACTCCCCCTCTCAACAAGGCAGTTAAAATGTCCTCTTCAGACTTGGTGAGGGGAGGGCAGACTGCGTGTAGATTAGACTGGAGAGCCAAGCCCGAAGCGTGGACTCATCCTTATTATTCGAATAGGAACGCAGTAGCATCCTAAGCTTCTTCAAATGATCAAGTCTACACCACCTATTTCTTGCTCTAGGGTGTGTAGTTTCTGTCAGAAAATTCCTTACGGAGGGGTTGGGAGAACACTTGCTTCACAGACCCCTGTGTTTCCGGTCACGATGAGACCATATGATTTCCATTAAAGCAACTCTTGTGGGAGCCCCGCTCGTGGAAACGAACTGCTGCCAGAACCCAGGCCTCGGATTTTAAACAAACAACCATTCTCAGGAATGGCAAGCTATTATTGTTGTTGTTGGTACTGTTGTTTCAGCTACCATGCTATTTTCAGACATTCTGAGTCTTTTTTAAAAAAAAGTCAAGAGAGTCTCAGGACCTAGCACACGAATGTCTTAGCCCATGCTTGCTCAGCCCTACTGTGACAGCAGACGACTCTGACTCTAACTGCCATCAGACAGGACTATGCAGGGCCTGCAGCCTGATGGCAGCACATCCTCAGCCTGTGGCCTCACAGGAAGTGGCCAAGTTGGGGGTGCTCTAATCTGATCCACTTTCCTTTAGAAAGCTTTAAAAATGAAATGAGATGTCTTTTAAGAGACCTGATCCTACAGAGATAAATACTGGAGACAGGTAGAGTCAGGATTTCAATCTCAGCCTTGACAGATGGGATTTATGATTTCCAGACATTTCCACATTTTTATCCTAAAGCATTACTTCCCATTGGGTCTCGACTCACGCTCAAAGACTATTCACTAACATTTGTCCAAAACCTAGCCCAGCAGGATGGGGCATCTGCTTCCAAATCTCCCACACCCAAAGCCGCTGAGTAACAGTAGACGTCAGGTAAGTGAAGTGGATGCCCAGGAGAGACTGGAGTGAACTTGCATTTGATCAGGTCTTTCATTACCTCTCATCATCTCTCCCTTCTCCCCTTGAGAAGGAATCTTGAGTTACCATGTCAAGAGACATGCAGCACAGAGTGGGCTGGTCAGGAGGATGAGGAAGATGAGCTCAAAATGTGCCAGTGGAGATGTTCTGAGCTGGAGAGTACTGGGGGAGAGGAGGGCAGTGAGGAGGATTTCTCCAAGGGTTGCCGAGTGAGCGCCCAGGAAGGGAGGATCCAGGGCTTTGCCAAGTCTGTGCCCCTGGGGCCATCTCTGAGACTAGCATTTAGTGTGTAATACTGTTTGCTGGACTGAATGGTACCTGGTGGAACATTCTAAAAGTTGTTTAAAGATACACCACTGTTTTATTAAAGGAGTTTAGGAAATATCCATAGGACCTAGATCTAAGATTTCCCGTTCAGTATCTGTCACACTAAAACAAAAATGAAACAAAAAAACCAGCAAAAGAGCAAATGGGGGCTCAAACCATAACAAATGCTACAGGACAATGATCTTCAAAGTTCAAAATAAAAGCAGTGGAACCGTTTCTCCAAACTAATTTTTCCCAGAATCCCTTTTTAATTTTGTAAAAAGATTTTATTTCTTTGACAGAGAGCGAGCGAGCAAGCACAAGCAGGGGGAGCAACAGAGGGAGAGGGAGAGAAGCAGGCCCCCCCACTGAGCAGCGAGCCCGATGTGCAACTCGATCCCAGGACTCCAGGACCATGACCTATGCTAAAGGCAGATTCTTAACCGACGTCACCCAGGTGCCCCCAGAATCCCTTTTAAAATAAAAGTGTAGCAAATTTTCGTTGACTTAGTGGTGGTGGTGGGGTTGAACTGGAGGACCTCAACCCCCATGACAGTCCCTAAGGTCCACTTGGGTTCCAGAGAACAGTCTGAAAACTGCTCCTAGAGCTGCGCTCACCCAGGGACTAGTTTGGAAAGTAAGCTTCTCTTCAAGTCTCTGGAGACTGAACTCATTCCTACCGCTCCTGGAAGCCCACCTCAGAGAGGGCCATGAGCAGCCGGAGCAGGGCAAGAAACCAAGAACACGGCAACAACTGGGCTAGAAGCCAACAGGCTCTCCTAACACAGGCCTCAGCACCCGAAGTACCTTGGAATGCTGCGGGAGTCCTCCAGGGCGGGTTTAGGGCCTCACAAAGTGCAGAAAAATCTGAGCCAGGAAGTGTAAGAGGGGAAACGACAGGAAGAAAGGTGCATAAACCAAGCTGAGCTATCTGTTCCTTCCTCCACGCTCCCGACCCCTATCTTCTCTGTATGACAGCAGCACCGGCAGCAGCGGCGCCTGGGAGCCTGGGAGCAATGCAGGTTCTCAGCTCCACTGCGGACCTATTCAATCCGAATTCGGCCCTCCCGGTGCATCTGATGGATGCCTAGGTTTGAGAACCACTGCTTTAAGTTGTATTCTTGTCTCTCTTACTGTATTATGAGATGCTTGGGCCAAGTGTTATGCATTTTGCTGTCGAAGAGCTTACAGCATAGTACCAGCTACACAGCAGTCTGATCATGATTCGGGACTTGTTTTGTGAGAGAAACTGGAGGGTCAGAGCAGACCCAGCCTGACATCCCTCACTGGGCTCAGAACCGCTAGGGACGGAGCACTTCAGGCACGCTGGGGACCGCTGGGTCAGGGAAGCAGCACGCCTGTGGAAAAGCAGCCCTCGCAGACACCCCCACTTCAATAGGAGGCTGACGACTCTCTGAAGACCCACGCACTCTCCCCTTGACAGAAGAGGGTAGTGATCTGAATGAGCTTTTGCCTTTGCGTACTCTTCCTGGTTACCAACATGGTCTTGAGAAAATTCCAAGAGCTGCAGAGACAGGCTTTCCATAGCACAAGCCCTTCACACAGCGCACAGCTGAAGGAGCGGGCAGCCGCAGGGGAGCAGCATGGCTCAGGTGGGTTTCACTTTCTTCAGTCTGCCTATCCTGCTAAAAACTTACTAGGATGGCAACATTGAAGAAAGAGAAAGTTTGCTGCTGTGGGCCCATTAGGATGACTAGAGTTCAGGGAGAGGGTGAGACTCCCCCCTGACAAAGAGCCTCCTGACCACCCAGAGTGAGCCAGGCCTCAGTGAGCAGAGGGATCAGGAGGCCAGAGCTTTTTATCTAGGCCTAATCCGACCCTCTCTTGAGAGGGTGGGTCAGGCCTTTCCCACTGCCCCAGATCTCCCTACATCCTTTCTCCTTTAGCACCTCTGAGGATAAAGTTTTTGAGGGCTCCCAATATACATGTGAATAGGCCCTTTTCTTAGCATAAGAATATGCAACCAGAAGAGCTCAAATTGAATTCTGACAAACAAGGACTAGAAATTTCCCCAATTCCACCTTTCAATCCCTTTGAATAGAAAAAACTGCAGTGTCTGATGAAAGTTTAAACCGAAAAGAGCTCAGGAAGATCAGCTGGTCTGCCTTTTCATTTTGGAGGAGGAAACAAACATGCAGAAAGGTGAAGCTTCCAGTCCAAACTACTCACACTGAACCAAAGATGAACGACTCTCAGAAACAAGAGCAAGAGGAACAAGGACAATCTTTGATGAACTTAA